AGTTGAAGTCCACACATCTTAAAAATCGCCACAGTTGAGAAACACTGCTCTAGGAGCTTGGCTTCTTGGCTGGAGGAAAAGAATGGTGGCACAAAAGCCAATATCTCATTATACTTTTCTTCCCAATTTCTTAAACAGGAGATGGAGGCCTCTTCTCACATTTGGTTTTTGGACCTCTTTTGGCAAGATAGAAAGTTACTATAGGCAGGAGCAAACTGATCAGAGCACTGAGTAGGTCTGGATACCAACTCTTCTATCCAGGTTTGCTGCCAGGGGTATCGGGAACGGCCCATGTTTTCTGCCACTGATGTCTTCCCCGTGGGGAACAGAGGGGCAGGAACCGTCTAGATTCCCAGTGGGGAAGAGAAGCTCTGATATGAGATCAGACCACCAAGGACTGAGTGCTGTTACTCACTCTCCACGGAGAAGTTGAAAGAAGCCCGGGCTTTGCCAATGGCGTTGCTTGCCAAGCACTCGTAGCTCCCTTCATTGTCCAGGCTGATATCTTTGATCTCGAGCCTCAAGGAATTTGGGGAGGAAGCAGCACTCAGCTTAAGGCCTGGCACCCCACGGATTTGGGAGGAGGTAGCTGCCAAGACTTGGTCAGCATGATGAAGTGACAGCGCAGAAGGTGGGTTACTGTCAACGGTGCACAGGATGATGGCCAACCTGCCTTTCTGAATCTCCAAGAAGGACTTCACCAACACATTCCTGGGTGGATCTTCCAGAAGAAGAGGAGAGAGATTAAGCTGTAGGCATGTCATGGAGGCAGAAATTCCTAGGGTTGGAGCAAGAACCTTCAGACTATCCTGAAAATAGGGCTATCCAGCCTTTTCTCAAAAACCTCCAGTGATGGAGCACCCACATCAGGAGGTATGTAGTATGACGCGTACAGAAACTCACACTTCATGTTTCTTGACTCATGCCCAGAAATGATGTTGCAAGGAACACCATACAGGTGGCCAGCAGGTATCACACAATGGTGGTCTTGGCACAGACTGGAGGAGAGGAGGGAACCCTTCATATTTGCTTTAGGAAAAAGGACCTTGTCCCAAATGGAGGCCTTAGGCTTTCCATGGAGACCTCAGCTTGCCCCCTTTTGAAAGCTGGAAATCCAGAATCTAGTTATTTTAAAAACAACTAGTTCAGACTTTAGCCAACTAGTGAGGTTTGGGATGGCAATGGCCACCATCATCCCTGGCTACATCATGTGGGCTGCGAAGGCTGAGCAGTTGTGGCTTGGAGGGACAACATTGTGGAGAACAACAATGTTGTTCTTCGCTTGGTCGGCCTCCTTGCTTCCCCTGAAGCTCTCTTTGTAAACAAAGCAGGTATTATGACAGATACACTATTTCTCCAGCAGCTTCCTCATCCTAAGGAAATGAAACTCAGGTGCATCCTGGCTTAGGGAAGCAGATTGCATAAAACCATCTTTTTCAAATCTAGCCACCCAGGACCTACAGAGGACATTCAAGGTGCTTAAGGAGGAGTTCCGCATCCTTTCCCGGGTCTTGACAGTGCAGTAGTAGGTCCCGGCATCTGCCACGGTGGCCTGGTGGAGCACCAGAGTCTTGAACAAGCCTTCTGCGTACCACCTGTTGTTCTTAAACCAGGTGTAGTGCATCTCACCAACAGCGTCAGTGTCGACTGCACAGGTCAGATTGACTGAGTTCCCTTCAGGGACATCTGGAGGAGAAATCCATAGCCTTGCAGCTAGAAGGGACAGAGGAAAAACAGAGACCTGTTCTGGGCAAATCAAGCAAGTGGAGATTTTCTGGAAAGTCTCTGGATTTACATTCAGGATTCCTGAGAGGTGGAGTGGTGAACCGCTCCTGAGCAACCCCCCTCCCTGAAACACTTGAGTCTTGCAAAATCTAAATGATGGCAACAGGGTGAACGAATGTTGGTTTTGATTCAGATGTTCATGTTGATGTTGGGGTGTAACTTTCATTTTAAGTGTGTGTTCCCAATGGCTCAAAAGCTTTTGCACTTGGTGGTATAGAGAAGCCCAAAGAAACACCACCTTGTCACAGGGTGCAACATTCATTTTTGTCAACAGTTGCCCTTTCAATTATAATCAGCGCTGATGTCCTGTATTGACTAGAGTTCCCAAAAAATGTTCAAGGGTTGGATGACAGGAACACGTTCTCTGTACTTACGCTCCCAAGAATTAAAGTGTGGAAGTTAGTGCCAAGGGGGTCACAGTTTGGCTGGTTTATATGGGGAATTATTAAAAAAAAGTCATTGGTCACAAGAGTGATGGGGAGAGAACTGGGACTTGGAAACTGACCTTCCCAGAATTTTTGGGAGCCTTTACAGCAGCCTTTAAACTACCTTCAGGACTCTTCTGGGGGGGTCTTGTGTGTTAAAAAAACCAACCCCTTTCCTTTCCTCTACACTGATGCTGACCACTTCATGTTCTGGTGTGCTAAGATAGAAATAATCATGACAGGGGCTCCACAAAGCCTTCACTTCTCTTGCTGCACTTTCATCTTGACTGCACTCTAGAGGAGGCGCTGAGCTTCGGTGCATATCTTGCTCAGTCCCACTGTCTGAAAATGCCAAAGGCTGTTAGTTATGGGGCCGACAGTCCTAGGCCTACATCGCCAACCTCTAAGAACGCCGGGTCGCTCTTTTTCGGCTGTGGGGCCGTGCAAAGGTTCAGCTTGGAGATTGCCTGCAAAAGCGACGCAAACCAATCTCCATACCACACCGACTTTTGAAGCCAAGTTGAACCTCACACTGAGAACACTTTCTCGAGTTCAGCTGGGACTGGAGCCAGTGCTGCTCGGGGACACGGTCTAGGGGCACTTTTCCGCAAACTACCCCGACGTGACGTGGTGAATTCTTGGAACGAGACTTTGTGGGTGCCCTAAGCTCTGCACAGCTTTCCCAGAAGTTGTTGACGACCACAGCCCCCCTACTCACGCTCCGCACTGAAGGCGACGCTGGCGCTCCCGTTGCCATATCTGTTGCCTGCGGAGCACACGTACTCCCCCTCGTCTTCCAACACCACGTCCCAGATCTCCACCCTCAGGCTGTTGTACGTGGGGGAAATCTTGAGCCGCTGGTTGTGGGGAGGACTGGAGTCGATGCTGGAGGCCAAGAGCTCCTGGCCTTTGCGTATGGCAAGGTGGGCCTGGGGGTCACTCTCAACGGTGCACTGGATGATGGCCACCCGGCTGCCCTGCGCCTGAAGGAAAGCGGTCATCTGCGGTTTCCGAGGGGGGTCTGTAGGGAAGAGAGGGAAATCGGCTTCTTCAGATAGCAGAGCCCTGGGGATGCATGAAATGGTGAAGAGAGGGATCTCCCTGGGTGGAAAAGACCTTCTCCGTCAACGCAGAGGGTCTGGCTTCTTCGCCTGCGCTTTCGAAAGACGGCCTCGAATTCCAAGCCCTCCACGCCTTCACACTCCAAGCGGCCTCGTTCTTAAACCCGGTGGCGGCTCTTCTGGCAACCCCCAACTTTGGGCAGAGGGAGCTTAGCAAAGCCACGAGGCTGGGAGAATCGCCCCCTTCTCCGACGTCTGACCCGGCCAGACTTTCCCCAGCCAGCGGCACGGCTTTGCCGGGCAGGTAGATAAGCTGTGGAGTCCTCGGGGTTCTCTGAGCTTGGTTCTTTTCTTGCAAACGTCTCGTTACCCGGCTAGGTAACCTCTTCAATGCTAGAATGGGGTGGGGTTTGCATTCTAGCACTGAAGAGGTTACCTAGCCGGGTAAGGAGGCGTTTGCAAGAAAACAGCCAAGCTGGGGAACCCCGAGGACTCCCGGTTCAACCCTGAGCTGCCCATACTCGCCTCTACTGGCAGGTAGATAAGCCAACAGCGCCACCTGCCGGCCACGAGTCGGTTTTCCATGGATTTTCGGTTTGGGCTGGGAGGTGCCCCGCGGTGGGGGAAAGGCATGCTGGGATGGAGGAAGGATTTCATCCTTCACAAGGGGGTGCTCTAAGGAATGTTTCAGGGGAAAAGCAGAGCATGAAGCACGCGGAAGTGCATTATTCTCCCAAAGTCAGTTTTCCCAACCTTGGGAAATGGCAGCTGTGCTAGGACTGCAACTTCCAGGATCCCTAGCCAGCCAACCTGCAGGCCCAAGTCTCCTTTGAGTCAAGCTCAACTCTTCGTGACTCATGGAAAACTACACTGTAGTTTCCCACATAGCCATCCAAAAGCAATTTGCCATTGCCTTTTGCAACCATCATCATCATCATCATCATCATCAAGATCATCACCATCAGTCCATTGCAGCTTGACCTGGAACAGCTTCCATCCTGCGACGATGCCTTTCACACCGTCAAACAACATCTGCCTCTCCCAGGTCCTTGGGAAGGACTCGATAGGGGGATAAAAATGCCAGATCCAGTCCAAACACCTGGTTGACTGTGCAACCAACCACAATAATAATACTTCACATGCAGTTTACAACCTGGTGGTCTCCCATCCACATACTGAGTCTGACCCTTCTGCAAGAGAAACTCCCCTGCATTGTTTTGTGCCAGTTTTCATTCAGTTCAAAATAGGCTTTGTTTTTGAAATGTTGTTCAAAGGAGGACGGGGTCCTGGAGAAAAACTCATGGGGGGACTAAATAAATATTCTTGCATTATTTCGTTATATGAGGTGGCCACGATATTAGCCACATTTGTTTGTTTATGCAATCTATCCACCCTGTAGAATCCATTTGGACTGGCATGGCAGATAAATCACCTACATCAGTTATAAATAAATACGTGAACTTACTGGCAGCACCACCCACGAGGGAAATAAAAAAGCGATGGTGCAATTAAAGCCACTTTGCGGGCTCCCTGGCTGCCATCTTGACTGTTCTGCCTCTTCCCCCCAATCCTGCTGCTGTCTGGCTTCTCATTCCTCCCAGAGAGCCTCTGAAATAAGCTCCCAGGGGACTTTCCTCCTGTCCTGCTCGAGAAACCATGGGCAGTTCTCCTCCCTCCTTCCTCCTGCTCTCGCTTTCCGCAGAAGAAAAGTGCATTGCTCCACCGTGTGCCTGCAGCCACCCGATGTGTGGACTCCAACTCCCAGAATTCTGTGCTGGCTGGGGAATTCTGGGAGTTGAAGTCCACACATCTTAAAGTTGCTGAGGTTGAGAAACACTGGTCTAAAGTAAAGTGTGTGTGTGTGCGCGTGCACACCTGGGTGTGTCAGGTGGGTTTGATTAAATCCAGATCAGAGGAATGTCTTTCCCAACCCCATCTTCTGAAAATGGGAATGCTGAGATCGATCCCAGGACCACCTGCATGGAAGCCACGCGTGCAGAGCTTGGCAGAGATGCAGGGCCCTGGAGACTTACAGAAAACGGTGATGCTGATGGACGGGGAGATGCTGACACCGTCCTGGTCTGGGGTCTGGGCTTTGCAGTAATACGACCCGGCGTCCTGGTGGGTTGCTTTCAGGAAGGTGAGCGTGCCGTCGGTGCCCCCTTGGAGGCGTTTGCTGTTCCGGTACCAGGAGAAGCTGGCATTGTCTCGGATGCTTCCCATCACGTCGCAGGTGAGGCTGACTTTGTCCCCTTCGAGCAGCTCCGGGGACGGCGTGATCAGAATCCGGGCCGCTGGATGCCGGGAGGAGATAATAGGAAAATGAAAGCACGTGTTGAAAGGGGCCGTGAGGAATAACTGGAGGAAAGGCCCGTTGGCGTTTAAAAAGAGGAAGAAGAGGAATGGAAGGAGAAGAAGCAGAACCACAGACGGTTTGCAGACAAGGGGCAGGAAGTCGCGACGGCTCCTGATTACCAGTCGTAATCAGGGCTGCGGTCAGAAAAGCTACGAAAGGTGCCAGGTCCTTAAAACTCTCAGCCTTTCTGTCTCTGTCTGTGAGAGTTTTACAGAAGCAACTGCCTAGTCCTCAGCGTTCAGCACCTGCCGAATCTCAGACGGCAGAGGGGGCATCGTGCGTCCCCAAAGGCTGGAATTCCAGCTCCTCTGCTTGCCAGGAGGGAGTCGCAGCCATATTCCACTTCTCCTCCCTCTTTCCTCCGGAACGGAGCAGGCCTAGAACACCCAGCGTGGTCCAGATCTTTACCCTTACTCTGGGAAACCCCAGCCAAAGTCCCACTAAGAAAAATGAATAATAATTCAAGGCAAAATGATCTCCCCCCTTTACACATACCACTGCTTGGTGGGGAAGGTATGAGGCCTCCTTTCCAAATCCTTTTAGGGCAAACATACTTGATTTTATTTTGTCAAGCAAGGGTGTTGGCGGGATGGAGGGTCAAAAAAGTCAAGGTGGCAGCTTTGATCATGTGGCCACAGCCACCAACTTCAGTTTTTTCACTGCCCCTGAAGAAGCCTTTGGGGTCAAGTGTTATATTTCTTTCCTGCTGTTCCAGAGGCAGTTATATTTTGAAGGATCGTTGTGACTCATCAATTGCCATGATCTTGTCTTTTGAAAATCGTGATGATTCTGTTGCCCTGCGTATTTTCTGCTGCAGGTCTGTGGCCTGGGGTACAACCACCACTTCAGCCAATATTCATCCTACAGTTCTCCAGTGCATTTATCATTCATGCATTTTTGCATTTATCAAAAATAGTAAAAACACCTTAGCCTCCTTCCCCTTTTCAACTTAACTCCCTCCACTTGTAGATTAGCAACCCTTGGTAATTTGCTCCTTTGCCTGCACCAGTATTGTTTCTTGGCAAACTGATTCCCAGGGACCGGTAGGCAGGGAATGGCAAGTGATGTCAAGAGGGCGGCTGCAACGGTGCGATCACACGAGGCACAGCTTTGGTCCCACCGTTATGGCCACCATCTTGACTTGTCTGACAGTTCCCTGGGGACACCCGTGCCAACAGGAGGTGAAAGGATGGGCTTCCAGGACGCCCGTGTCAATTCACCCACCCTGACGACACAGCAGCAGTGCTAACATGCCGGACACTCACTTTGCACCCGAAAGTAGAGCTGTCTGGAGGTGGATCCGTGCACGTTGGTGGCCGTAACGTTGTAGCTCCCTTGGTCTTCCGGCACGATGCCCGTCATCTCCACGCGCATGGCGTTGGGGCTGGTTGTGATGCTGATCCGTCGAGAGGCCGCATCGGTCTTTGAGTTGCTGGTGGCCAGGATGCTGTCTCCTTTATAGAGGACCAGTGTGGCCGGAGGGTTGCCCTCCACGGAACATTGAAAGATGGCCACTGTCCCTCTCTCGGTCTCCGTGAAAACCGACACCTGGAGATTCCTAGGGGCATCTGAAAGCGAAGATCATCCCCGCTTGTGAAGACGTTACGTCCTCATCAGGCAGACATGCGTGGAACAGAACGCACGTGGTGGGGCACGCGCACCAAAGTCGCGCCCCTGATTATCTGTGGGAAGTGGCCCAGCCGTGCAGAGCCGAGGCTTCTGGAAAGAAGCGGGGCAGTTTGTAAAGGAATTTTGAGCTGATTTTCAGGAAGGTTTGGGAAAAAAAACATTAAGGAGGGAGAAGAGATTATACAGTCCAGAGATAGAAGGACCCATAAGAAAAGATCTTGTTTAGTGTAAGAGGGGTCAGAGAGAAACTTGGACAGACTTTCCAGATTCGGTTATTCCAGTGTTTCTCAACCTTGGCAACTTTAAGACGGGTGGACTTCAACTCCCAGAATTCCCCAGCC